CACCTGCAAAAGTTGCAAGAGCTCGTTAGGTGTCAGCTGCTGCGTGTATAAATAAACACGTGTTTACAGCTGATTTAAAGCAGCATTGTTTTAATGGCGTCCTTCATTTGCGGCTCTTGGCTCAGGAGAGCTTTAGCTTGCTGTCGGCCCGCCTCGTGTTTGACTCTAAAACACAGAAATACAGAAAAGTAGCTCCGCCATGCTTGTGTTTATTTACTGTTCATTTTTTTATTAATATTTGTGTCAAGTTGCCATGTTGTTGTGAAGCTTTTGCTGTTTGTCTGGAAAAAGAAAAAAATAATAAAAAAATGTACATTTTCAGGCAAATTAAACATTTTTAAAAGGAAAAGACGCTCCGTTCTGACGCCGCTAGAAGTAAAAAAAAAACAAGCAGAAAAGAAAATGACATCATCACAAGTCCATTCAGTCATTTAAGGAAAAACAGAAAACTTTCTTATGCAAAAACAAACCAATTTAAGTTTAGAGTTGAGTATTTATTGAGTTTCTTCACTCAGGTGCAGCAGCACGACTGATTAGATCACCAGCAGGTGTGTGTGGGTGGCTCCTTCATAAGGCAGGCTACGCCCTCACTAATGTTTGCTGAACTTGGAAAAAGGCTGACAGTCAGAACTGTTGGAGAATGAATGTAATAATGATCTGTAGAGCCATCTGCTCTTTAAAAGTTTTATAAAGGAGGCCATTTATCTGTTTAAAGCAAATGAACTCCCAAACAACAGAAGGCAAGCTGTCCGAGTCTTCCTGTGAGCTGCAGCAGGTTCTGCCTAAAGCCACCGAGGGGCACGTGCATGGCTGCAATCTGTATAACAGCTTTAAATAACAAACGTGTGAATAAATAACACGGCCATGTTCAGAACGTTAAAGCCAACTACCGCCACCGTGGGAAACCCTCTCATTATTCACGCTTTACTTTGCGTCTGCACACGGCGCTACAGAAACACCTGATGAACAGGATGAGAGTAAAAACCACGAGCAGAGCTACTGCGGTCAGGAAGAGGACTACATCTACAGAGTGGTAGATGTACCAGGGCATTTTGTAGGATTGGGCTTTCAGGTGAGCAGCTCCTTTATGCCTCATGACAAACTCGATCCAGAAGAGGGCGGTGTCTATCGGCTTCATCGGTTGGTCTCTGTGCAGCCTGGAGAGTCTCTGCATGTTGGTCCTGTAGGACGGCTCGTTCAGGACTTCCTGTAGAGTTTTAAAGAAGTTGTCATCTTTGTCTGCGGTACTCAGTGAAAGAATTTTGGCTCCTCCTCGGTCTTCCAGGCGGATCAGATTGTCGTATTGGTCAAAAAACAGCGGTAAACCCACCACTGGGACGCCATGACAGATGGCCTCTTGGACTCCATTCGTTCCACCGTGAGCTACGAACAGTTTTATTTTCGGGTGTGCTAAAAGGTCTTTTTGTGGCATCCAGTCAACCAGGAGAGTGTTGTTTCCCAGAGTGGTGGGTCTGTTACCTTTGTAGGTCCAGATGACTTTCTGAGGCAGTTTAGCGAAGGCTGCGGCGACCTCGTCAGCCACGTCATCAGGAAGCTGACTCACAAAGCTTCCCAGGGACATGATGATGAACCCATGTTCTCCAGAACTCTGGACAAACTCCTCCAAGTGCTCAGGAAGTGGTTCTGGATCTTTACAGTGGAAGCCCCCCATGTACACAACATTAGGCATTGTGGGACGAGGAAAGTCGAACACAAAATCGGTTCTCATCAGCCAGATGTCTGCATCTTTCATCATGTGATCAAAGTCGTGATCAGGCCCAAGATATTTGTCACATAAAGGCTGGTAGACTTGTCTGATCGCTGTGAACGTTTGTAATTGGGTGACTTCGTACAAAAACACGTTCTTAACTCTTTGAAAGAAGGTCATCTTGTCCGTTGAGCTAGTTCCTACGACAGGAACGTACGACAGCGGTGAAGGAGCGAGGGCAAAATGAGCATCTTCTGGTATTAACCAGCGAACGTTATAAACCAGGGGTAGATTCAGATACTTGGCTACAATAACTCCGTTGCCCCAGCAGGGGTCAGTAAGAACCAGGTCAAACTTGCTCTCGTTTAACGTTCTCACCAGCTTTGGATCACCAAGCAAGGATGAGACTAGTTCACTCACATCTCTGTGAACCTCAGCGAGCGTGCTCACCATTCCTACAGTCATGTGGAGAAAGCTGATGAAGGGTAGAGCTCCCCTTTGAAACTCGATGAACTCACTGAGAAGTTTAGTCACCAACTTTTTATCCAAACTCTTTTCCACAGGAACGGTGAGGGTGTTGTAGGAGGAGTTTTCCTTGATGAACCAGCTTTTGCTGGAACGTGCAACAGTTATGTTGTGTCCTCTGGAGTGCAACGCCTTAAGAAGGACCTCCATGTTTATCCAGTGGCTGCCTTCGGTCGGAACCACCAGGATATTCCCACCTTCACAGGCTTTGGGAATCAGATGGAGCAGGAACACAACGCTGCAGCAGCAGATCAGCCTCATCTGGAATTAAAACATCCATTGAACAAAATAAAATATAGAAATAAGCAGAAGACTATGATTTTCCTTGTCCCCTCTTTGTGGTGATGGTATGACCTTCACCTCTCTCTCTTTATTCTGCTCTCCCCACCTATTCCACCTTCCTCAGGATCCACCGATTTCCCTCTTTCCTGTTCACTCTCTCTCTTTCTTTACATTTTTTAAACACAATTGTTTATTTTTTGCTCATTTTAAACATATTTTAAATAATTTTCTAAATGAGTTTTTATATTTTACATGTTTTGTTTTTGTGAAGTGCCTCGTGGTTTTTATCTTGAGGCGCTTCTTGTACGTTAGGCTTTTCATCTTTATCATTTCTCAGCTTTGACTTCAGAAAAAAAGTTTTCTATTCACAAAAACCAGTTTGATTTAAAACCAATGAACATTTGTTGATAAAGAATTGTTTCCACTTACTGTCGGTCTTTGTCCAGATAGGAAAGTCACTTCTGAGGACTGGGGGGTGTCGCACCAACAGGAGAAAGTCGGAGTCGAGCGAAGTCATGCAGAGACGAGGAGCAGGTGCCCTCCAACCTACAGGATACCTCTAAAGCTACTAAAAAGCAAACAACCTGTGTGCAGAGAGAACAGTGATAACAGGTTTACTGATTGACAGGGTCAGTGAGATGTCACTCACACCTAATAGTTGTGTAAAATCTGTTTTACTGTTAGTCTTTAATTTTGGTAAAGCAGCATGTTTCTTCTTTTGTGGTTAATCGTGTCTACCTGGACTGCAGTGCATAAAAACGCTTTCATTACAATTTTGCTGTTTTCAGTTTATACTACATAAACTTTCAATTCAATTCAAGTTTATTTATAAAGCTCCAAGTCAGGACCAGAGTCGTCTCAAGGACCTTCACACAGTAAACAATTCAGGTCAGGTCATTAAGCCAATCAGTAACAAGTTTCCTATAGAAGGAACCCAGCAAATTGTATCGAGTCACTGACTAGTGTCAGAGTCTTTACAGCAATCCTCATACTAAGCAAGCATGCAGCGACAGTGGAGAGGAAAACTCCCTTTTAACAGGAAGAAACCTCCAGAGAATCCTGGCCCAGTATAAGCAGCCATCCTCCACGACTCACTGGGGATGGAGAAGACAGAGCACACACACACACACACACACACACACACACACGCACACATATATAAACTTTATTGTATTTATCCTAGTGGATCTATAATTAAACGGATAAACTAGTAGTAGCACATCCAACGTCAAGGAAAACAAAAAGTTATTATCAGGAGAGGGAGAATGTTTAAGTGGTTAGCAGCAGTGTGCTAGTCGATGGCCCCCTCCATGAGGCCACCACAGCTCAGCAGAACATCGTTGTAGCTTCTTCTGGGGAGAAAAACACTTAGAGAGAAAATAAAGTTAACAGCTGAAATAGCAGGAAATAATACAGTTAAAGAGCAGATTGTAGAAGAAAGCAGTAGAGTGTGGAAAGTGGTCAGTGTATCCTCCAGCAGTCTAAGCCTATAGCAGCATAACTACAGAGATAACTCTGGATAATCTATCCTATTTAGATGGAGGCATGTTGGAGGCAGGGCAAGGGAGAGCCGTCTTTACCGACTGTACACTCCACCTCCCTCTACTCCCCCACTTGTCCAGATCTAGGCTAACATCAGATTTTAACCATAGGCCCTATCAAATAAAAATGTTTTAAGCCTATTCTTAAAAGTAGACAAAGTGTCTGCCTCACGGACTAAAGCTGGGAGCTGGTTCCACAGGAGAGGAGCCTGATAACTAAAAGATCTGCCTCCCATCCTAATTTTAGACATTCTGGGAACCACCAGTAGACCTGCAGTCTGAGAGCGAAGTGCTCGGTTAGGAACGTATGGAACAATCAGATCACTGATGTATGATGGAGCTTGATTATTAAGAGCTTTATATGTGAGAAGAAGGATCTTAAAATCTATTCTGAATTTAACAGGTAGCCAATGTAGGGAAGCTAAGACAGGAGAGATATGATCTCTATTTTTAATTCTCATCAGAACTCTAGCTGCAGCATTTTGGACAAGCTGAAGACTTTTAACTACATTCTGTGGACTTCCTGAGAGTAATTGGATTACAGTAATCCAGTCTTGATGTAATAAACAAGAACAAAGCTTCCGTGTACCTTGACACAATAATAAAAGTATTAAATAATTCATTATAAAGATGTTCTACATGATATGGAAAAGCGCACAGTTCATGTCAGGGCACAAAGTCAAAGGAACCGACTGTAGACAGTCTGGATGAAACCTGCTCTAGGCCTCAGGCTGGGTGACGTTGGTCTTTCAGCAGGACAGTGTCTTTGGCTCTGCCAGAGATCAGTTCAATAGAACATGTTTAGAAATGGCTCCACCAACACCTCCCATCCAGCCTTCTCTAGGAAACCACCCAGGGATGGGCATGCCAAGCTTGTGGCATCATGTTCAAAAAAACTTTTAACTGTAACCAAGTTTTGTGCAAAGTGTGAATGTACACCAGTGTAGTAGAATAGACTTTATTGATCTCACAGTGAGGAAATTCACTTGTTACAGCAGCACCAACACTTGGTATAGTAATAGCAAAGGTACATGTACATATACACATAGGCAGTACACTAGTATTGTAACCTTCGACCACGGAGAATGAAAAACCCGGGTTCCAGAAGTATGCAGCACACTGTAGGGGACACAGACATGCTGGGTAAACCAGTAGTACACAAGTATTAAACACATACTGAGTGATGCATAATCCTGCATCATAAATGTCTGTCCTGCATAATGATATATTATTATTTCAGTAAATATGCAAAAATCCCAGACTTTTTGCATGCTGTCGTTGTGTGTGTGTTGGGGGGGTAGGCATGTGGAAACAGTGATGTGTCATGAACCTTTTCCAAACCAGGTTAGAAATGGGTCAGCGTTAACAAACTTGGCATTTCTCACAAGTATTCTGCTTCAAACCAGTTTAACCTGAACTTTGAGGGTTTCCTGCACGACAGTCTGGCTGATCCAGATAAGAAAAGTCATGTTAGTGTTGTACTTTACCGCACTCGAGTAAATTCAGAGTCCATTTAACACAGAGATAAGGAGCGGATGCCCTCTAACCCCACGAATCATGCTAACTCTCTTAAAAAGCAACAAACTGTGCAGACTGAACAGTGATGACATGTTTACTGATTACAGTCGGTGAAACATCAGCCTGATCAAACAGGTGTGTAATAGCTCACGTGCACTTTGGCTCATAGTGCAGAAACACAAAGGAATGACTTGTTATTAGAAAATAAAGTCTTTGTTACAAAACAAAAACAATTAGAAATGACCTTACAAAGCTTCCATCAACACATCATGTAGATATTAGAAGTGTGTAAAGTAGCATTGCTTCCTGCACGGATGTTGTCGGTGCACAAAGTGTGTTTTAGTTTTTGCTGTAAACTTTCTGAACTCTGCCTGAGGTCAGAGAGCGTAACGGGGTGAGATGAGTCCCTGACCATATTCTGTGGTCAACTGTACCGTCCTTAGGGAGGGGAGGTGGTCTGCTGGGTTCTCCTGCTGAGCAGCCGGAGAACCACATTCAGAAGAAATGTGTCCAAATGTTCTCATTAGAAGAGTGGTAGAACCCGTATCGATGCTCTGAGATGTGAGCTTTACATAAAATAAGACCTAGAGCCTAAATGTTTACGTTTATGTGCTTAGCAGACGCTTTTACCCAAAGCGACTTACAATTTTTTTTTAACCTGTAGGGCATGTTGTGATCTGTGGGGGAAACCGGAGTACCCGGAGGTAACCCACGCATGCATGGGGAGAACACGCAACTCCACGCAGAAAGGCCGCAGCTGAGTTTCAAACCTGCAACCTTCGTGCTGCGAGGCAACAGTGCTAACCACTGTGCCACCATGCAGCCCATGAAATATGGAGATTACAATAAAAGATAGAAGATAAAAACCGTAGTCAAAAACTAAGTAAAAACACAAATCATAAAAGGCTAAAGGAAGAATAAAAGAGCGGGTGGCTACCAGAAAATCCCTGATAATAAAATGCCTGCTGAAATAGATGCGTTTTAAGCTTTGATTTGAAAGTGCGCAGGTCGTCGGGGAGTTTGTTCCAGAGTGAAGGGGCCATCACTGAATACGAGTGTTTATATCTAGAACGTGGAAGTTCTAGAAGGACCTTGCCCATTGACCTCGTAGCTGGTGCTTGCTTACGTAGAGACAGAGTCAGAGAGGTGGGCAGCACCGAGGCCGTGGATACTCTTGAACAGTGATCTACTCAGAAAGACACCGGGAGCCAGTGTAGCTTTGAGAGAATGGGAGTAATATGGCTCCACCTGCATGTGTTTGTCCGGAGACGGGCTGCAGAGTTTTGAACTAGCTGCAGACGAGCTATGGGGGACTTGGGCAGCCAACAAATAGAAAAGGACAGTAGTAACGTCTCAAAATGATTGCATTTAGTGGCAAAAGGCCACACATATTGATAGGGTTGAAATTAATTATTGAACAGTTTGATTCATTAAATTCTTCACATCATGTTTTCCTGATTAGCTTTTTTTAAATGTGCGCTGCAGTCTGGACACGTCTTCCTGAAGCACAATGTGGTAACCTAGGTGCTGTGGAGGAAAAAACACCCAAACCAGGCAGGTAAAAGGCAGAAACGGCCCAAAGGATGGCATCGAGTGACACTAGGAGCAGACTGGCTAATGCTAGCACATGGATATATTTAGATGTGTTATTTTTACTAGGATGAGTGATACTAATACAAACCTAGAATACTACTGAAGTATTGGTGAATTTTGTTGTTCTATTTTCATGTTATTGGCAGCGGACCAATCTGGTTTCACTTCAAATGTCGTCACAAAGATTATTCGATTAATCAACAGAGGATTCTGTAAAATATTTGATGGCTGCAGCCCAACATAATATATCCAATCATTATTCACGCTTTATTTTGCGTCTGCACACGGCGCTACAGAAACACCTGATGAACAGGATGAGAGTAAAAACCACGAGCAAAGTTACTCCAGTCAGGAAGAGGACTACATCTACAGAGTGGTAGATGTACCAGGGCATTTTGTAGGATTGGGCTTTCAGGTGAGCAGCTCCTTTATGCCTCATGACAAACTCGATCCAGAAGAGGGCGGTGTCTATCGGCTTCATCGGTTGGTCCTTGTGCAGCCTGGAGAGTCTCTGCATGTTGGTCCTGTAGGACGGCTCGGTCAGGACTTCTTGTAGACCTTTCAGGAAGTTATCTTCGTTCACGGTACTCAAGGAGAGAATTTTAGCGGCTCTCTTCTGTCTCACACGGAGCAGATTGTCGTATTGGTCGAAAACCAAAGGCAAGCCTAGCAGTGGGACCCCATGACAGATGGCCTCTTGGACTCCATTCGTTCCACCGTGAGCTACGAACAGTTTTATTTTCGGGTGTGCTAAAAGGTCTTTTTGTGGCATCCAGTCAACCAGGAGAGTGTTGTTTCCCAGAGTGGTGGGTCTGTTACCTTTGTAGGTCCAGATGACTTTCTGAGGCAGTTTAGCGAAGGCTGCGGCGACCTCATCAGCCACGTCATCAGGAAGTTTGCTGACAAAGGCCCCATGAGACATGATGATGAACCCATGTTCTCCAGAACTCTGGACAAACTCCTCCAAGTGTTCAGGAAGTGGTTCTGGATCTTTACAGTGGAAGCCCCCCATGTACACAACATTAGGCATTGTGGGACGAGGAAAGTCGAACACAAAATCGGTTCTCATCAGCCAGATGTCTGCATCAATCTTAATCTGATCAAAGTCGTGATCAGGACCAAGATATTTTTCACATAAAGGCTGGTAAGCTAGTTTACTCGCTAAAACCATTTGTATTTGACCCACCAGATATAACAGCATGTTCACTACTCTTTCAAAGAATGTCATTTTATCAGTAAAACCAGATTGTACTATAGGAATGTATGATAATGGTGAAGGAGCGATGGCTAATTGAGCATCTTCTGGTATTAACCAGCGAACGTTATAAACCAGGGGTAGATTCAGATACTTGGCTACAATAACTCCGTTGCCCCAGCTGGGGTCAGTAAGAACCAGGTCAAACTTCCCATCGTGTAATTTCCTAACCAAACCTGGGTCATCCAGCAGGGCAGGGACAAATTCACCAATGTTTCTGTGAAGTTCTGACATTTTGCTGAACATGCTAGCTACCAAATGGAGAACAGTGGTCAAGGGAAGAGTCCCCCGTTGGAATTTTATCATCTGGAGCAAGAGTTCCTGTACAAAGTCTCTCTCTACGCCTCTTTCCACAGGAACGGTGAGGGTGCTGTAAAAGGAGGAGTTATTCACCACAAACCAGCTTTTACTGGAATGTGCAACGGTAATGTTGTGTCCTCTGGAGTGCAAAGCCTTAAGGAGAACTTCCATGTTGATCCAGTGGCTGCCTTCAGTGGGAATCGCCAAGATGTTCCCGCCTTCGCAGGCTCCGGGAATCAGGAGGAGCAGGAATGGGACACTGCAGCAGCAGATCAGCCTCATCTGGAATGGGAGGCGCGTGACAATCACTTCATTTTAAAAAGTTTAATCTGTTTTTTGAGAATAAACAATTAGAAATATGTGGTTTGATAATCATCCCCTCACTGTTGAATAAGGGTTTAAAATAAAATAGTCCATTATTAACATCAGCAGCAGCACTTTTCACATTATTTTCAAAAATGAGGAAGAATTTCTCCATAAATGTTTGGATTTCTATGTCAGCTTACAATGGCTTAGTTCAGCTCACTAAGTTCTTTAGTGAAGGACTTTTTTTTATAAACTTTTGATTTATTTTACTTACCACTGAAGAAATTGGGTGAAAGTCACACTTATTACATTTTTATAACACATTGTTACAAGACGATGTATTAAAGGCTTGTGAAGTGAAAACCAAACTGTTATCTGTAACGATAAGCTGAGTAACCTTTGAGCAGTGAGAACTGGAGGCTGATTACAGGTCCAGAGCAACATTTAGTGTCAGCGCTTACGGCTAATGTCATCATCATCATCATCATTCTGCTCATTTAGAACATCAGCTTCACTAAGAATCGATAAACGAGGAGACAAAATGTATATCAGGTTATATCGGATATTTAAATGATCGTTTTGCATTTGGCCTATTACTAAATAAGGCCTCACCATTTATCTTGATAAAGCCTCAACCTCCCGTAATAAAAATAAACTAATCATCAACTTTATATAAAAATGTATTAAACACGCGCTGAAAATTTTGCCAAATTTTGCCAAATCAGCCACCAACGTTAGGGGTTTCTTATATTTATCCTAATGAAAAAGTTCATCCGCTTCCGTTCCGTAAATGCGCGCTCCCGAGGCCGAGAGAGACGAACTACACCAGAGGAAACAACATTGGACATAACGGTGAACGTTTTAGTTTTAGTTCTAGTCAGTGGCTGAGGAAAAAATAAATGTTTCACCTCGGATAGTTTGATTGAACTCTTCCCAAGTTCTTCCTGGTCTCCCTAATCGGGCACGTTTGTTTACTTCCGGTTATGGACGTGCGGCGGGAAACGACGGACCAGTCCAATCCACTGGCAAGAACAGGGGGGTTGTAGCATGTTTTCATTTACCATTTTAAAGTTGTTTAGACTTATACAACTTAAAAACACATTTAACTCATATTTTACAACATAAATACAGAGAATGTAAAATCAATGTAGTGATTTTCTGACGTATTTTAAGCCAAAACCTGATGACGACATGTGCCTGATGGTAAAGTCCTCGAAACCAAAATTCATTGTATTATGTTGTGTTGTGTTGTGTTACAGCTGTTTTTCGAGTTCATTGATTTTCTAAGATTACCAAGTCTTACTAATTAGCATCAATTGGAAAAACAAACCATAAATAATTTTATTAAATACATAAAATATATAAATGACTACTGCATTACAGCTCAAGTCTAAAATATCACAATATTTCTGCCAAAGATAGTGTCTCATAAATCCAAGTTATGGAATAGGCTATAGGACCAGCCTTTTGAAATACTATAAATAACAATATAAATTTACTATAAACACATTTGAATAAGTATAAATAAAATCCAGGATGTCATGTTTATGTGCCTCATACTGACAGCTGGCGGTCTTAAATCGCAGATCAATTGGTAGGTTATGTTTAAATCTTATTGTAGCAATAAATGCTAAATTGCTAACCCTAGAAGAAAATCTAAAAAGTAAAAAGATATCCAAATACAAGATAAGAAATTATTACCTCACATGAATTTTAATAATACTATTATTTTTATATTTTAATCATTTTAACACTAATTTACCCAAATGAATACAACACAATACTGTGAATAATACAACTGCCCAAAAGAAAAGAAAGAAAAAGGGGCGTGATGCTGGTTTAGAAGGAAGGGCTGGATGAAGCTCTGACGGAGGAGGGGAGAGGAGGAGACAGGGCAGACGAGGATTTGTTGCCTTTTCACAGTTGGAGGGAGCAGGGAGAGCAGTGGCAGCGTCTAGAAGAGAAAAGGAGCTGCATGGAATGGAGGAAATCGATGCTGTGCTGAGGCTGTCGTCAAGACGACCCCCACATCCACCATCGCTGCCATGCTGTATTCTGTGTAATGGAAGAGAGGCAGAGCAGGTTCGTGTTCAGCCTTTTAATGCTCCTGTAGATCAGATGTATTACCTCTGAGAGGGTCGTGGTAGCACAGTAAAGGCAGAGGGCATCCTGATTGGTGCTGTTCAGTGTGTTAAAGGTGCATCGCTGCAGCTTGGTCCTTATGCAAGCAGTGTGATTGTCATGGAAACTAAACCTTAACCCAAAGCATGTTTAGAGCTATGCAGTCCTCATGATTCTAACGATTTCCCTTTTTTCACACAAGGGTTTTTCTTTTTCCCATTTGGCAGCTTTAGGATGCCCCGGAGACGAGCTGTCCAGAGCCAACTTTGATATGATGCTTGGAGCAGGAGGGGCGGTCACCTCTGTCCTCCTGCTGCTTCCTCTCCTGTGCTGGTGCCACCTGTGCCACTCTCTGCGTGAGTGTTGAACTCTTCATGTTAAAGGAAAGGAAAGCCTTGTTCTATCGTTTTCACTCTCTAATAAATATCTAATCTTTTGGTCTAAATGAAACTTTTAGCTCCTTAGACACAGCTTTTTTTAACACAAACATCAAAACAAAGACGTTTTCTCAGGCAGCGTATAAATTGGCCGCAGATCTTTCATTTATGTATTTATATTAATAAATATGTCTGTTATTTGCTGAATATAGACGTTTAGAGATCAGGAGTGGCACTGAGGATCAGATAGGTAATGGGAATTTGTTTATTTAACATTACTGTTGAGATCCTGGGAGATGTGGAAACTGGGATAATGTTCAGCTTCTGCAACAAACACAATAAAACCATTGATCCACTGAATAAAACGTGGATTTGATGACAAAAAATTTGATCATTTTATTCATTCAACTCCGTTCTAAACACCCCAAAGCCTCATTTAGCGTAAGTTAAACCACCAAATGGTTCCCGAGCGCAGCCGTGTCTGCAGCTCCCGCTCCCCAGGGGATGGGTCAGATACGGAGAACACATGTCACACACAGTGTGCGTGAGACGACTAACGGGACTTTAATCTTCTTTAGACTTAAGTTCATTGTTGCTTTAATATTAAATGATAAATGACCCACACTTATAGCGCCTCTCAGAGTAAGGACTCCAAAGTGCTTTACACTACAGTGCATCGTTCATCCATTCACACACTGATGGTGATGAGCTGCGATGTAGCCACAGCTGCCCTGGGGCGCGCTGACAGAGGCGATTACTTTTCTGTATAAAAATTAAACAGGAAGTGGAGTTCGACTCTGGTAGATGTGTTGCCTAAGGACACAACAGCAGCAGTCTCTGGTCGGAGCTGGGATCGAACCTGCGACCTTCTGATTACTGGGCAAACTGGACTTTCATTGAAGTCCTAGAAAATGAGACTGGTGGTGTCCAGTCCTGGTCCAGGATGTCTGCTCTCCTGTGTGATTCAGACGTTTCTGGGCTTTGACACCTGGTTTAGATGCCCTGGTCTCTCACAGATATCTGTAACACCTGGGTGCACAGTAGAGCCCTGCACGGGCCTAAAATCTGAGCCCATGTCCGGGCCGACCCGAGGGCCTAGGGCTTCAGTGCAGGGCTCTAGTGCACAGTGAACAGGTAAATAAAGCAGCTAGTGAAACAGGTGTGTCAAAAACAAGCAGGATGTCAGCCTTCAAGGGCAGAACAATCCATCTATAGAAATAAATCCTGAAAGACATCTAAAAGCTGCTCTGAGGGCTGGGATGATGGAAATAAATCTTCAGCTGCAGAAACACTGTCTGAATTATTCCGCAGCAGTCGCCATCATGTTTAAACAAGTCATCATTAAATATTAACTCTACTCAGAATTGTGCAGAATCTCCTCTCCAGATTATTTAGTGTCCTCTCTTCCTAACGGCGCTTCATGTTGGTGCATTTCTGACCCGGAGCATCTCAGGTGTTAACGTGGGAGTCTGGGGCAGATGAGGGCAGCACTGTTAGTCAGACGCTCGAAGTGGCGGCACACAGCAGACAAGGAGATGATGACTTTGCTGATGAGACGATCGTTGACTGCGGGCATTGCATTCGTGCACGCATCGATCCACGCGCTAACAGAGTGAAATATACCCTCACGGCCATTCTTGTGGTAGATTTTCAGCCACATTCATTGTCAATCAATAGTTTGTCACAAGGCCTGCTAAGATGCAGTGAAGGTCTGCTGCTGGGAAGTGATGGAGTACTTTGACCTATTTACTTACAGATGGGATCAATGTGCCTTTAAAACCTTCACGCGGTCCGGTGATACATCGAAGGCTTTAACGTCTGATGCTGAACGATGGAAATTCCAGAAAAGCTGCACCACCAGGAACTAGTGATGGGAATTACGGCTCTTCTTAGAGAGCCGGTTCTTTCGGCTCCCAAGTGGCTCCTCAGATTTTCTGAAGCTTAGAGTATCTCCAAAAATAATGCAAAACTATATGTAAAATGATTTTATTATGTAAAAAAATGCAATATATCAAATATTTATCATTTCTATGGATTTAATAACTGAACACTTACAGAAATCTCTACTTTCCGACTGCTGGCGCTCAGTTTCTCACCGTCTTCGTCGCACTCTCCTCTCTCTCGCTCGCTTTTTTCCTCCTCCTCATTCCCTCTCGTCTCCCTCCACCCACTTGTGCTCTGCTGTGTGTCTGAGTCTGATCCTCCCTCTTCCCCGCCCCTACCGCTCTGTGTGTGGACAGTCTGGACACACAGTTACACATGTTGACCAATCGCCTGTAGCTTTCACCAAAACAAGAGGGGAGGGGTTGGGGGGGTGACGGCTCCCAACGACGAGCCGGCTCCCGTCGTTCACTTCAAAGAGCCGGCTCTTAGAGCCGGTTCGTTTGCGACCGCCACATCACTACCGGTAACCCTTCAGACTGACTCGTTCACCGTCCCTATCCCAGCATCCGGATGCAGGAAGAATAATAAAAAAACATTTGGCCAACTAGCTGAAAATAAAATGGTGATTTTTCTCCACGGCTGCAAAAAGAATGACTGTGATGTTCCTTCTTCCACGCCGAAGACAACTCGAGGTTTCAGGGGATTTAGTAAAAACAAAACATCACAGAGGATTCTGGTCATCACTGAGCATCATCGTTATTCTACAGCTGTTTAGCACACCTGGGCATTTTTATGACAACAACCAGCTTTGCTTCAGTCCTCAGAAACTTCCGAAGACCAAAGATTCAGACATCGGAGGTAAAGGGTCAAACTTCAGCTGCAACAACTCCTATTGGTCTTTACATGGTAAATGCCTGTGTTTGATATAGTGCCTCCTAGAGTCCTAGAGCCCCCCAAGGCGCTTTACAATACAATCACCCATTCATACACACATTCACATGTGAGGGTGATGAGCTACAATGTAGCCACAGCTGCCCTGACGCACTGACGGAGGCGGGGCCTGTCGAACACGGGCGCCGCCGGTCCCTCCGACCACCACCAGCGGGCAGCGAGGTTTAAGTAACATAAAAGCAGCACTCTCAGCCAGGAGCGGGAATCGAACCCTCCAGTTGCTGGACAACCCGCTCCACCTCCTGAGCTGCTGCTTAAAAGCAAACGTAAGTTTATTACACGTTAAGTTAATGTAAATATTATATATGAAGACTCCTCCAGTGTGAGCAAAGACTAGATGCTCAGTTTTGGTAGGATGCTCACGTCTGACAGAGAAGAGGCGGCACCACTCACTTTGACTTATTTTAACATTTTTCTGTCGGTTGTGATTAAAAGACATCTCTCAGCTCGAGGCAAACCCAGTAGCTTTATTTTAATGGCGGATGTTCAGAGGTGAGACGAGTCGGCAGAACTGAGTCGTGCTGTGTTGATGGAGGGACAGACAGGAAGTGGGCCTACTCTGCCGTGCT